CCCACGACTAGCAGGCTTGCCTTTCTGGGCCAAACTTTGGAAGTAGCCCACAGACCCTCTGTGGTCTGACAGCACAAACCACAAGAGTAGTCCTCTCTCCCACCCCGCACAATCAGACTCCTCACAAACACTGCCCCTCCCTGCACAGCAGTTTTTCCCGTATTTAAAGACAGCTCTCCCATCGCCTCAGAGATTACCACTCAAGGCTAAAAAAAAATAGGACGACATATCCCCCTTCTTTTTTTGTTCATGACCACTCTGGCTAGACCTCCAATTGTTCTTGGTTCACATGCAGACATTGCTCTGAAAGTGCATAACAGGACGGGGTTTCTTCTACTGCCCCATTGCAGAGGTGTAAGGGAGATAACCACTCTGCACACAGCAGAGCACCTGGAACAGCTGGCACACCCCTGATCCACATCTCCTTACCTGGACAGGCTGGGCATCTCGCCACACCATGCCCTCCCCATCGCTCTCCCAGATGAAGTGCACTTCCCGCCCTGCCCATGCCGAGGGGATGCTCAGCTCCACCTTAAACCAGCACGTCTCCCACCTGGAAGAGAGCAGGCAGCAACCTCAGCCCACCGTGAGACCTTCCCCTGAAGGAAGCCACAATTCCTCAGAGCCTCCATGGAAAAAGCAGAGTGAGGACTGCTCACAACCCTTACAGCAGGCTCGTGCCCAGGCTGCAGAGGCACAGCAGCCACAGCGGGTGAGGAAGCTCAGAAGGGAGCCCACAAAGCCCGTGGTGCTGGCCTCAAAACAGCCTCTTCTGGGACCCCAGAGAGACAGACAGCAGAACTGTGTCTTTGAGAACAGCCAGGAAAAAACCTCAATCATCTCCCAGCCCTGAGAAAGGATACACGCCCCATGCAGACGCAAGCATCAGAGTCACAACCATGACTACAAACACAAGCTCTCAGCAGCAAGGCTCAATGAACCTGGCTCTTTACTGTCCTTGGAAACAGACACATCTCGGTCAGTTTCCTCACTAAATCTCCCTAATGGCTCCTAGGCACAGACCTTCTACCTAAAGCACGCAACATGGAAGAGGATTATCATCTCATTTCTTTGCCATTGGGAGCTTGTGAGGCTTCACACACAGGAGTAGCCCCGAGATGTGAGCTCCATCCCCACCACTGCCATGGCACCACCGAACCCTGGTACTCACGTGGGCCCAAAAGAGTCTCCCACTTTAGCCGGTCTGAATTCCTGCCTCACAGCCTCATCGTACGTGATGCGCCGTGGGGTCTGGAAGCAGGAGAGCGATGCTGGTGGACAGCAATCCTCAAAGAGCCTGCAGTCAGAGACGGCCGGGACACGATTAATAAAGCCAGTCCTGCAGGGACCAGCCTGGGGTGTGTGCGCCGGAAGAGAAGGACCACCCTGCTTCCCCAGCACAGCCGCATCACCCTGCTACCACTTAATACCCTCACAGTATTAACTGAACAACACAGTAATAATTTGCCCCGTTGAAGGGGGCCGTTGGAGCCAGCCCTCCAGCAGCACATCCCCTCTGTGCTGGAGGGCAGAGGCGACTCT